TCTAAACGTTCTCAAGGTGGCTATAGAAGTCCGATCAACCTAACATTTTGATATGTTATATTAGACAGAATTTCAAACAACTTTGATGAAGGACTAAAGTCATTTGAGTACAGAAAATCATAGAAACATATTGAAACTGAGCATACTATGGTGAAATCAGGAAATGGTAAATATACTGTGACCATACCAACCTTTTAGAGTCTATTGCTAGTTGGATTGAGCTGAAATTGGAGTATGTTATATGAATCACATAAATGAACAACTTTTATGAAGGAAGTTTTCTCATTTGAGCTTCCAAAATTTGAGTTCTCTGCTGCTCCAAGGAAGTGATGAATTTTGGATTTTGAGTAGGAACAAAAGAAGAATGAGGATGAAAATAAGGTGAATGAGGAAGAGAGTGATGATACAAGGAATGAGGAGGAAGAGAATAAATTCATGATTGAAGAATCTTAGGCTAGGTGAGTCATCAATTTAGAAGAGGGTGATGATACAATGAATGGGGAGGAAGAGAATAAATTCATGATTGAAGAATCTTAAGCTACGTGAGTCATCAATTTAGAATAGCTGACTCATCCTTTGTGAATTGAAGAATAAGAAGGGGGAAAGAATGGGGGGAGAGTTTGCTGCTGCCCTCCACGTTTTAGATTCCATTTTTTTTTCTTTTTCTTTTGCTTTTCTTTTTTGCCTACAAGGGTTTTTTTTTGTTTTTGTTTTTTTTGTAATTTTCACACATAGGGGTATTTCTGTCATTTTGGCCCAAATTTTAGAAAAGATATCCTACATGTTCGTTGAGTCGACTATTATTGCCCTAATTATAATGGTCTCACTTCAATTTCTTAAATGTCCTTTGAAATATTCACAAAATGTTACGTAATGGCATTTTTTATCAAACTTGAAATTACACACTTAATTCAAAAGTCTCAATCCAAAATCACTTGATAAAATACCCACAATCATTCTTCACTATAATATTATTTTCACTGAAATACGAAAATCCACATTTAATTTTTTGAGGTATTACAATAATATATGTATATATATATATATGTATATTATATAATACATTTATTCAAATTATTATTATTTTAATATAATAATTATGAATTGCATAGTACCCCAAATTCTACATCTCCCTTCCTCCATGCCCAGTGTTGGTAATCTCCTCCAAAGCCTCGATGTGCTAAAAATCTCCATTTGCCTACTGCTAGTTATATGCAATTGATACTATCTATTTTGACACAGTTCATACCTAGATCGAAATAAGCGATGCATATGGAGTTTGAGAAAATACCCAAGGGACATGAGATCGCAAGAATCAGAAAACACATAAACTTTCTCTCCACTCAGAATCATAACGAATTTGGGGGACTTCCATGGGAGGGCAGGGTAATCATGCTCTTAGTTTCTTGAAATTTCGTCGGGGATGATCATGATGAATCTCAATCAATTTCTTTTCCCCCCTTATCAGTAATCTCAATTTTATTTCAATATGCAATAAGTTAGCAACTAATTGACTAAGAGAAGCAGCAACCATGGCTCCTTTCTTTTTATTTGGGTTAATTGGAAATTCTCCATGTATATTAAAATCTAGAAATTTAGACATATTCCCTATGCTTGATCCTTTTTTGTTTTTCTGAGCAAGCGGAAATAGAAGTTTTAATTTAGCAGCATAAGGAAAAAAACGAAAGAAAAAAAAAGCACAGAGATCAACCTTCCTCCTCCTTACGTCAATCTTCCTTACTGAGTATTTGATTTTGCTATATAGGTTGGGTTCGTTGTTTCTTGTTATGGATGAAAATGGTGTGTGGACTTTGATGTTATTTCAAAGGCAAAAAGAAGATTGAAGAGAGGAAAAAAGGGAAAGTCATGAAAAAGAAGAAGATGTCTTGAGAGAGAATGTTGATGCTTTTAGGAAGATGTGAAAACATAAATGAGGAGAGAGAAAATTGAATAGCAAAGTTAATTAACTTAAATTGTAATTATTTTAAGATGAAAGAATTAGTTTGTTTAATCTCATCTATTTATTGTAGTCTAATCTAATGGTTCAAAATTTGTGTCAAAACTTGTATAAAAAAAAAAAAATATATATATATATATATATATTGTCTTTCTAAAAATAAAAAAGGTTTTTTTTATCGCAAATAGTCCCTGAGGTTTGCCAAATTATCACCTTTGGTCCTTTATTTTTTTTCTGACATTATTGGACCCTTATGTTACACCTCACACATCAATTTGGTCCCGCCGTCACGTTCTGTCAAAATTTTCCGTTAGATTACTGACATAGATTAAATAATATTTTAAATATTTTGGGTTTTATCACAAATGGTCCCTGAGGTTTGCAAAATTATCACCTTTGGTCCTTTATATTTTTTTTTCTGACATTATTGGTCCTTATGTTACACCTCACTCATCAATTTGATCCCACCATGAGATTTCATTAAATTATTTGTTTTATTAGCCCCTGAACTTTGACCCGATTTGCATTTAAGTCCCTCAATTTCCAAAATCGTTCTCGTGGTCCTTCAAATTTAGTATCGTTACTGTCATCAATTTTGTTAACTTTTTTTTGTTAAATGTAGGGGTAAAATGGTATTTTTGTATTATTTTTAATTTCCAATTTTTGAATATTCCTTTCACCAAGTTTCTGATTTGGAATGTTAGGGGTGTTGGTGGTGACCAATTTTCTGGTACAATTAACAATCTGAAGAATTTGCATCATTTTGATTTCCTTGCAATTTTAGAGCCCATAATCAGTGGGGTCAAAGTGGCAAAAGTAATTAAGAAACTTAATTTTGAAAGTAAAGAAGTTGTGGAGGCTAGTGGGTTCTCGGGAGGCATCTGGCTCCTCTGGAATCAGTCTAAGATCAAGGTGCAGCCCATAGTTCTCATGAAGCAAGCTATTACTATATTGATATCTGACGTGGGTTCTCAGGATTGGTTGTTGACAGTTTTGTGTGGTAACCCATGTCCCAAGAAAAGAGATTGTTTGTGAAGGCATTTAACGGATGTTAGTGCTGCTCATAATCTGCCATGGACCATTATTGGCCATTTTAATGAGACTGTTTGCTCTGATGAAAGGAAAGGTGGGAGTGATAGATGGAAGCCAGGTGGACTTGCTAATTGAATCCAGGTTCATAAACTTGTGGACCTTGGATTTATTGGCAGCCCTTACACTTGGACTGGTAAAAGGGACAATGGTAAAACTATTTGGAAAAGGATTGATAGAGGAATTTGTAATACTTCTTGGAGAATTTCTTTTCTTGAGGCTTTTATCAAGCATCTTCCCAAAATAAACTCTGACCATAACCCACTGCTTCTGAGTCTTGATAGTCTGCATATTCCCGATAGTCATCTCAAACCGTTTCTTTTTGAAGCTATGTGGCTTAAACATGACAAGTTTGATGATTTCTTAAAGAATTCCTAGCTAATTGATAATAGGGGTATTATTAAAAAATTTCAAGATCTCGCCCTTGTGCTAAAAACTTGGAATAAAGAGATTTTTGGTGCTTTATTCTAGAAGAAAAAAAGAGTTTTGGCTAGATTGGATGGGATTCAGAGAACGTTGTGCAAGAGGTATAGTCCTTATCTTTGGAATCTCGAAAAGAAGGTCACTAATGAATACAATAATATTCTTGCTCAGGAGGAACTTTTTTGGAAACAGGAATCTAGAAATCTGTGGTTACAAGAAGGAGATAAAAATACAAAAAATTTCCATTTATCTACTATAGTCAAAATCAGAAGAAATAAGTTAGAAGGGTTGGAGAATGAGGTTGGTCAGTGGATTGATTCCAAGGAGGACATGAAGGAAATTGTTATTCGATATTTTGAAAACATACTCTCAACCAAATCTTGAAGGGCCAATTTGAATATTCAATGTGGTTTCCCACATATTCAACAAAGAGTTCTTGAAAATCTTAATAGCCATGTTTTTGTGTTGGAGATTCAAAACTTATTTGCCATTGGGAGCCTTAAAGCCCCTGGCCCTGATGGCATGCTTGCAAACTTTTTTCAACATGCTTGGGATATTTGTGGAAGGGATCTTGTGTGCTTGTTGCAATATTGTTTTAATTGTGGGAACATTCCTGAAGGACTCAATAATACATTGATTTCTCTAATTCCTAAAGTGGACAAGCCTAGCTCTATGAAGCAGTTAAGGCCCGTAAGCCTATGTAATACGATCTACAGAGTCATTTCAAAGATTATTGTTTCCAGATTACGACCTCTCATGAACAAGTTGGTGTCTCCCACTCAAGTGAGCTTTGTATTGGGGAGACAAATTGTGGAAAATATTATTATTTCCACTACTATAAATATTCAAAAAGACAACGCTTAATACACAACGGCTGGCTCCAAAACCGTTGTAGTTGTTTTTTCCACAACGGTTATTACGTAACCGTTGTTAAAAGGGGTTTATAAGCGTTGTGGTTTGGGGTATGTGATTTTTTGATTTTATTTTACGACTTTCCATAACAGTTTTGGTTGCAACCGTTGTCATTGAAGCTTTAAAAAAAAAAACACGGAGTGAATAGTGACTCAATATTTGTTCTCAAGGCCCGATAGTTCTCATTCTCTCTTCTCTTTCTAGTTTGCATCTTCATATTTCATATTCCATATTGGAAGCTATGTGCAATTGAAGCTGTGTGTGGGCATGCTTGTTCGTGAGGATCATCGATTCGAGAGAGTTCAAGCAAGGACTGAGTAAGGCAAGACAAAAGTATTGGATAGATTCTTGTTTAGAGTTTATATACTTGAGTCTTGTAATAGTCCATTCTTAGTGGATTTCTAGAGGTTTTTCCCGGTTGGGTTTTTTCCTCGTACCATTGGGTACAAAAATCCTTGTGTTAATTTACTTATGCTGCAAGATTTTATTAGTTAGATTTGGGATTGAAATCCTTGTCTAATCATATTCCGGTTATCTATTTACTCTACCTGAGGCACGATTTCAATTGGTACCAGAGTAGGTCTCTAATATTTTAGAGAGATCCTAGGGGTTACTCAGGATGGAACGACATTATGGGTCTTCTTCGCATCCTCCGCAGTTCAACGGTGAAAACTATGGAGAATGGAAAGCTAGGATGCAGGCCTATATCTGGGCACAAGGAGATGATGTTTGGGATTTGGTTTTGGAAGGATATGTTGCACCTACCAAGACTGAGAGAACTATTGAGAAACGGAAGATTGAGACAAAAGATGGTGTAGAAGAGAAAGATGCTGTGGTTAGTGAATTTCAAATTCCCAAGCCTAAGATAGAATGGACTGCTGAAGAAAAGGCTATGAGTGTTTATAATCAGAAGGGCATAAATGCCATATTTGCTGCTGTATCTTCCGAACAGTTTGCACACATCATAAATTGCAAGATGTCAAAGGAAGCATGGGATAACCTTATGATTGTTCATGATGGGAATAACAAGGTCAAAAAATCGAAGCTGCAAAGACTTATATCGTAGTTTAAAAAAATCGAAATGGGAGAGGAAGAACCTTATGTTGAATTCTATGAAAAAATTTATTGGGATAGTAAATAGTTGTGCAAGCTTGGGAAAAGTTATACCAGAAGTGGAAGTAGTAGAAAAAATTCTGAGATCATTGCATGTCAGACTTCATCCCAAGAAGACTGCCATAGAAGAGGCAAGAGATATAGATACTTTATCTCTTGATGATCTTAGTGGAGCCTTGCAAACCTATGAGTCAGAGTTATGTCCTGTAAAGAAGGCCAATAAGAATTTAGCATTGAATGTTACAAAAGAAGAAGATGATGATTGTAATGAGATTGATCCGAAGCAACTTGCCTTAATCACTCGTCATTTTCAAAAGCTACTGAAGAAGCAAAATTCTAAAGAAAGTGGTTTAGGTACAAGATCTTCTATAAACAAGACTTCAAAAGATAGGTCTCAAAGATTCATTCCCAAGTCTGAAGGAAGGAAGTGTTATGCATGTAGGGGCGGTCCTATGCCTAGGGCAAGGTAGGCTGCTGCCTACCCCGAAATTTTAAAAAATAAAAAATACCCATATATAATAGGCCAACTCATGTGAAACATACAAACCTATGCCCACCCAAAGAGCAACCCACATGTATTCATAACCTAAAATTTCTCTCTTCTTTAATTATCTCCTCTTTAATTATCTTCTCTTTAATTACCTACCTCAAATTTTAAGATGTTGTATATGACAACATTGAATCTAACATATTTTAACTAGGTTAGAAGTTATGTGTTCTAATATGTTCTAGCGGTTACTTAAGAATGAATTTTAATTTGCTGACTTTGTTGAAATTAATGAGGTCTTTGATTTTTGGAATTTTTTTGAGATGTTTGATTTGATATTGGTATTGTTGAGATGTTTGATTTGTTCTTGATATGTTAATGTTTGATTAAAGGCATTGATGTTATTATGAGAATTTATTTCATTTTTTTTTTGGGATGTCGGATTAAATAGTTTATCTTTTGTTATGTCAGATCACAATCCGAACCCCAAGAAAACAAAGAATTTGTTGGAATTTTTTTTTTTTAAAGAAAAAGATTAGTTTTTTCTTTGTTGCTAAACTTTTATTTATATATAGAAATGCATTTGATGGTAAGGCTCATTATGTCCTCCTACTAGGTGTATATTTTTATGTTTATTAATGAGATTCACTCATAACGTCGAGTTTTTAATTTAAGTTTCGCCCAGCCGGATTTCGAATCCTGGATCCGCCACTGTATGCATGTTCAGGGTATGGACATGAAGCCAAAGAGTGTGCAAACACTATCTCTAAACAAAAAGAGGAGAAGAAAGCCCTAAAAGCCTCTTATAACACTACTACAAATATTCAAAAAGACAACGCTGAATACACAACGGTTGGCTCCAAAACCGTTGTAGTTGTTTCTTCCACAACGGTTATTACGTAACCGTTGTTAAAGGGGGTTTTTAAGCGTTGTGGTTTAGCGTATGTGGTTTTCTGATTTTTTTTCACAACTAATTACAACGGTTTTTGTTTCGTTTCAACCATTGTAATTGAAGCTTAAAAAAAAACACGGAGTGAACATTTTTTCTTAAGCCCGATAGTTCTCATTCTCTCTTATCTCTCTTCTATCTTCTTCTACCTCTCTCCACGGTCTTGCTTCCCACCTCATCGCCATGCTTTCGCCACAGCCATAGACAGAGAGACTCTGTCTCTCTTGTCTCCCTCTCTCCACTCTCTCTCTCTCTCTCTCTCCTCCCTCTCCCGTCTCTTTCTCTCTCCTCCCTCCTTCTAGTTCAGAGGGATTTGGGTTGTAATTTTAGGGTTACTGATTTGGGTTTTAATCTAACCATTTGGGTGTTGGCTTTCGGGTGCTCTACCTCAATCAACAAAGGTAAAGAAAAAAAAAAATTAGGGTTTCAATTTATTTCGACACTGTTGTGATTTGGGTGTTAACCATCTCTGTTTGTTTCCTCTGCATGTGCTTAGCTTTTCCATCTCTCTTGCCCTCTACGGCTGTTGCACTCACTTTGAAGCTTTGATAGGTAAGAACTCTGGAGTGCTTTTCTCTATTTATGTTTCTCTTGTTTTCCCATTGTTTCCTTGTTTCTCAATCACGATGGCTGCCTCCTCTCATCTTAATTGTCCGTTTTGCCCCTTCCTTTACTTGATTCAGATATGACCAATGCTTCATATCTTATTTAACCAAGTCAATTTCGATCCCTGGCAGCATGAATTTGCATTCTTCTCTTGATTTGAGACCATACCTTATTTTTAATTAATTAATTATTTGTGTTTCTCAAATGTGGTTATTTTGCTTTTATTTTGGTATGCGAATTTGTTGCTTTCGTGCTTTGAATTTTTATAATGTGTTGTATAGCTTGCTATATATGGAATTTGGAGTTGTCAATAATGGAAGTTTTAGCTATTCCTTGACATTTCAAACATGGAAAGTTTTTTAGTACAAAATTGTAAGGAGGAGCCTCATCACAAAACCAATTTAGATGAAATGTGATCTTCTGCTATTTGGCTTTCAAGAACTGTCTTCCTTCAAAGCTTTGTAGATAATCTCTGTCACTGCTATTCTGCTATTCTGCTGGGATTACTATCGTGGCTCTGTTCTGTATGGCAGAGGTTCCATGGACTTCTCTAAATTGTGCAAGGTCTAGACCTGAGCTAGCTTCAAAGTATCTACTTTTTCTCTTAAACTTGAGCTAGCTTTTGTCATACACACCACATGGTGCAGTTACAAAGTAAAATGAAGAAGTTAATTTGAATGGAAACTAAATCTTTGATTAAGACTACTTTTTTATTATGAGACTTGGCTAAGTCTTATTTTTGATATCTTGTTACAGTGGAGTAAAACAAATGATTGTACATATACACAAAATCAAATTGATGAAGTACGGAGTGAGTGGGCAGATTATGTGATGACCAATTATGTGTAGCTCAGACCTCAAAGTGGACAAGGTTTTTTTGCTCAGAATAGTGGACAGGGTTATCAACCATTGTTTTGGTTTCTTTTGAGCATGATTACGTGGCAATCACTTTGATTGTCATTTTGTGAATGGTAGAATTTTCACATAAAATGTACAAAGTTTTAGATTCTGTGGTTGGTAGCTTTGGGATGTATGTATTAAATTCAAAGCTTTAGATTGCCTGTACACCTCAAATTGTTGTAATTGAACCAGTTTTGGAATTGTATGGTTCAAATACTTTTGATATTGAAATATGAATACATCATTGTTTTGCCTATATTCGTTAATTTTGGAATGCAACAATACTAATTTTTTTTAAAATCATATTCTGTACTGAAGGAATATCATTATTACAACGGTCACCTTCTTAACTACAACGGTTACCCACTCGAACTGTTGTAGAAATCCTCTTATTACAATGGTTTGAACCAACAACCATTGTATAATAAGAACATTTACAACGATTATTCTAAAAACCGTTGTGCAAAGTCATCAATGACCATTGTGGAAAGAACCATATTACAACGGTTATTGAGAAAAACCGTTGTTGAAGGTGACTTACTACAACGGTTATTATAAAAACCGTTGTTGAAAGGGCCATATTACAACGGTCGCTCTTTTACACCTGTTATGAGAATTGACAACGGTTTTCCTTAAAAACCGTTGTTGAAAGTGACATATTACAACGATTTTTGACCGTTGTCATAAATAGGTAGAAAAGACGACACTCCTAACCTCAACGGTTTTAGAAGACTTTTAACAACGGCTAAAAACCGTTGTCTATTAACTTTATTGTAGTAGTGTAATTCTTGGAGTGACAGTGAGTCAGATATGTCTAAGGTTGAGGAGGAAGAGATTGCTTTTGTTGCCCTTGAAAACAATGATGAATCTGATGATTCAGATGAGGAGGACGTAGATATTGAAGAAACCAGAGAAAGGTACAAGGAATTGTATCTTAACTTTGACAAAGTGAAGAAACAAAATGATGGACTCAAGATCAAAGTGCACAAATAGGAGGATGAGTGGCAGAGGACTGAAACATCTCTTCGATCCTAAGTCAACAACTTACTTGCTGAGAGAGACTTGTTGAAGGAAAAGCTCAAGGAAGCTGAGGAGAAACTGCACAGATTGATCATAGGAGCTGAAAAACTTGACAGAATGATTGAAATGGGTAAACCAAATGGTGACAAAACAGGTATAGGCTTCAAACTCTCCTCTTCAACTAATTCTGTGACTAAATTTGTTAAACCTATTATTAACTCTAACAGTGTTGCTTCTGATATTGCCTCTAAAAATATGAATGCAACTGTTTTACATGATAATGTTATGACTAGTTTTGTGCCAAAAAGGTTTAATCAAGTGTGTCATGGTTGTGGAGAAACAGGTCATATTAGGCCAAGATGTCAAAATAGAGTTAAAAAGTTTGACAAGTTTACTGCAGAAAATCTTCAAAATCAAATTTCAGAGTTAGCAAAAGAAGTTTGCAGATTGTCAGCTTTAATGCAATCTGGAACAATGAAGCAGAAATGGATATGGAAGAAAAAGGAACAAGCTGGATCAAGAAAAGAAAATGTTCAAGAGAACTTACTATGTTCCTTAGCTATCACTTCTAACATAGATGAGACTAATGTTGTTTGTATGGTTGCATTTACAGCTCTGAGTGCATGTCTCAAAGACAAATGGTACTTTGATAGTGGTTGTTCTAGACACATGACAGGTGACAAAAATTGGTTTGAATCTTTCGTCGATATGAAGGTAAGTGGGTCTGTAACCTTTGGTGACGATAAGAAAGCTTGCATTTTAGGTAAAGGTACTATCAAGATTGTTGGCTTACCTCCCTTAAATGATGTTATACTTGTTGATGGACTAACTACTAATCTTTTGAGTATTAGTCAGTTATGTGATGAGTTTGGAGAAGTTAAGTTCAACACCAAAAATTGCATAGTTAGTGATTTAAGTGGCAAGCAAGTTATATGTGCACCAAGATCAAAAGAGAATTGTTATTGCACTAGCACTGACAATTCAAATTTGTGTTTCAAGGCAGCAGATGATCAAGTGGAGTTTTGGCACAAAAGATTAGGACATGTGAATTATCGAGATTTGCTCAAGTTGTCAAAGAAGTCTTACGTTCGTGGACTACCATCACTAAGTGGAAAGCCTGAAGGAGTGTGTGGAGGATGTCAAATTGGGAAGCAAACTAGGACAGCTCACAGTGCAACTAAGTTCATTGGAACCACCAGAATTCTTGAGCTTATGCATATGGATCTGGTTGGTCCAATGTCAACTCACAACATTGGTGGTAAGAAATACATTCTTGTTTTAGTTTATGAATTTTCAAGGTATGCTTGGGTAGACTTTCTTGCTGCTAAATCCGATGCATTTGATTCATTTTCTAAAATTTGTTTTAAGATTCAAAATGAGAAAAATGATAAAGTAGTTCGTCTTAGAACAGATCATGGGACTGAATTTGAAAATGCATCTTTTCATGATTTTTGCAATACTAATGGAATTGCTCATGAGTTTATGAGTTTTCTGCTCCAATAACACCACAACAAAATGGTGTTGTTGAACGTAAGAATAGAGTACTGATTGAGATGGGAAGAGTCATGCTAAATGCTGCAAATCTAGCCAAGCGTTTCTGGGATGAAGCTATTGGTACAGCATGTTATAACTTAAATAGAGTGTATCTTAGACCAAGTACAAACACCACACCATATGAGCTCTGGAAAGGTAAGAAACCCAATGTAAGTCATCTTCGAATCTTTGATAGTATTTGCTACATCTATAAGGATAGAGATTTGGTGGGAAAGTTTGATGCCCGTAGTGATACCGATACTTTTCTTGGTTACTCCTTAAATTCTATGGCTTATAGAGTTTACAATCATCGAACCAAAATTGTCATGGAATTGATATATGTTGTTATTGATGATTGTAAGACATATGAATTCGAACCTTTTGATGAGTGTGTTGATATTCCAGTGCCACAAAGTTTATCTAATGTGAAGGAAGCTTCTACAACTGATCATAGTGACATTGACATTCAAGACCACATTGCCACAATCGTTGAGACCAGTAATACAAGTTCACAAGTTCAACGTCCAGGAGTCAAACAAGTTCAACGAGATCATCAGGTTATAGATATCATTGGTGATCCCAATGCTCAAAGAATGACTCGAAGTCAAAAGGCTCAACTTACAGAAGAGATAAGCTATTTATGCTATGTATCTCATCTCGAACCAAAAAATGTCAAAGAGGCTGTTGTGGACAATGAATGGATCTTAGCTATGCAAGAGGAGCTCAATCAATTCACTAGAAATGATGTTTGGTATCTTGTTCAGAGACCAACTAACACCAATGTCATTGGTACAAAATGGATCTTCAGAAACAAGACAGATGAGAAGGGAAATGTTGTGAGAAATTCTGCTCTAGGATATACTCAAGTTGAAGGCATTGATTTCGATGAAACATTTGCTCCAGTTGTTTGCTTGGAATCGGTTAGATTGTTGCTGGCTGTTGCTTGTCATCTAAAGTTCAAGTTGTATCAAATGGATGTCAAAAGTGCATTTCTAAATGGCTTGCTCAAGGAAGAGGTGTATGTTGAACAACCTGCAGGATTTAAAGAACCTTTTCATCCTGATCATGTGTATCGGCTCAGAAAGGCTTTGTATGGCTTAAAACAAGCTCCTCGAGCTTGGTATGAGAGATTATCCTCTCATTTGTTGCTAAAGGGTTACACCATGGGCACAATTGACAAAACCTTGTTTGTCAAAAGGGTTGATCATGATCTAATGGTTGCACAAATATATGTGGATGATATTGTTTTTGGTTCAACTTCAAATGCCTTTGTTTCTGAATTTACTGACGTCATGCAAAATGAATTTGAAATGAGTATGAGTGGTGAACAAACTTACTTCCTTGGATTACAAGTACAACAATTAAAAGATGGGATGTTTCTATCTCAAACTAAGTATGCGAAGGACTTGGTTTCAAAGTTTGGATTGGAAAGTGCAAAGCCAGTCACAAATCCCATGAGCAACCACTACCAAGCTTCATAAAGATCTAACTGGAAAAGATGTTGACCAGACACTTTACAAGAGCATGATAGGGAGTTTACTCTACTTAACTGCTAGTAGACTTGATATATCATTTTTTGTTGGTGTTTGTGCATGATTTCAGTCTTGTCCAAAAGAATCTCATTTACTCGATGTTAAAAGAATCATTAGATATGTAAGTGGTACTCTCAAATAGGGAATTTATTACTCATCTGATTCCAACATTGAAATTGCAGGTTATTCAGATGCAGACTGGGCTGGAAATATTGATGATCAAAAAGCACATATGGTGGCTGTTTTTATCGTGGAAACAATATGGTTTCATGGCACAGTAAGAAACAAAACTGTGTATCACTTTCCACAGCTAAAGCTGAGTACATCGCAGCTGGGAGTTGTTGTACTCAAGTTTTGTGGATGAAGCAAATGTTGTGTGATTATGGCTTTAATCAAGGTAAGCTGCTCATTTTCTGTGATAATCAAAGTGCCATAAATATTTCTCAGAATCCTGTTGAGCATTCCCGAACCAAGCATATTGATATCCGACATCATTTTATTCGTGAGTTGGTTGAAGATGGGGCTCTTCGACTTGATTATGTGAATAGTGACAATTAACTTGCTGATATTTTACAAAACCCTTAGATACTACTAGATTTGAACACCTCCGAAAGTCCATTGGCATTTGTACTATCTTTTGAACAGCAAGGCTACTGTCTCAAATGCATCTCATTGTGTAAAAATTGCATTTTATTTTATTTTTCATTTTTTTATAAAAAAAAATCTTAAAACTTTTTTCTATATATTTTGCCTTTGTTTTGATTGGTGTTCTTTACGGCTTGTTGGGAAATGAGCTAAACTCTCTTGGAATTGCTTCGTGTTTACTTGATCTTAGATTGACATCTCTCTTTCTAATGTGTTTTACAACTGTGAATACTATTGAGATTGAACCTTTGAGATTAGTGGTTAAAATGGTCCTTCTGCTGAGTGCTTAGATTGACAACCTGTCTGCCGCGCAAATCTCACGGCCTGGAGTTCCGGGCCGAGGGGATGTGCGTTAACACGGGGTTTCCTGCTTTTGGGTGCGGTGCGGTTGTGCGCGGGCGTGCCAGCACGGTTTACCGTGCGTTGATGTTTCGATGAGTTTTGGATGGATGAATGGTGCGCCTGTTTGATCTGTCTTCCTGGTCAAACGATTGTAGCCGAGAGAGGAACTGGTCTCAGCTGTTAGGTTCACGGCCTGAACTACAAGGCCGTCGAGTGATGGTGTTGGTGGTGGGTTTTGGGCGGTGCTCCGGCGCGCTGCTCAGGGAGCGACGGTCGTGTGATATATGGGGTGAGTGAACGAACAAATAGAGATGGTGCTCCGGCGCCTTGAAAATCAAGGGTCGTATGATATATTGATGAATGGATTCTGCTTACAACCTAACACTACTCCTAGGAAAGCAAGTAAAGATATTGAAAGTGCATTACAGAAAAAAATAAGTTGCTCCGTGGGAGGCTTGTTTTGGTGTTTGAACCCTTTGAATGTAGCTCGAGTCTTGTATTTATAGGAAGAGTCCCTGGATGAGTAATCGAGGCTGAATTT